AAAGCTAAGGAATCATATGATCACGATGTTAAAATAAACAAAAATCTCACCTTTCAGAGCAGACATTGATAAACATGTCCCAGCCATGGGTCGTCACTTGTTGCTGTTCCCTTAAACATTCCACTGTGGTCTGTGCGTATTTACAGAACGTTTCTGTGTTTGGTTGTGTTGTGAGTATTTGCAGAGCGCTTCTGTATTTGGTCACATTGTGTGTATTTGCAGCACGTTTCTGTATTTGGTTGTGTTGTGAGTATTTGCAGAGTGCTTCTGTATTTGGTCGCATTGTGTGTATTTGCAGCGCGTTTCTGTATTTGGTTGTGTTGAGAGTATTTGCAGTGCGTTTCTGTATTTGGTCACGTTGTGCGTATTTGCAGCACATATCTGTGTTTGGTCGTGTTGTGCGTATTTGCAGTGCGTTTCTGTATTTGGTTATGTTGCGAGTATATGCAGCGCGTTTCTGTATTTGGTCATGTTGTGTGTATTTGCAGCGTATTTGGTTGTGTTGTGAGTATTTGAAGAGCGTTTCTGTATTTGATTGTGTTGCGAGTATTTGCAGCGTGTTTCTGTATTTGGTTGTGTTGTGAATCTTTACAGCGCGTTTCTGTATTTGGTTGTGTTGTGAGTATTTGCAGCGCATTTCTGTATTTGGTTGTGTTGCAAGTATTTGCAGCGCGTTTCTGTATTTGGTCGCATTGTGTGTATTTGCAGCGCGTTTCTGTATTTGGTTGTGTTGAGAGTATTTGCAGTGCGTTTCTGTATTTGGTCACGTTGTGCATATTTGCAGCGTATCTGGTTGTGTTGCGAGTATTTGCAGCGTGTTTCTATATGTTATTGTGTTGCGAGTATTTGCAGCGTGTTTCTGTATTTGGTTATGTTGTGAGTCTTTGCAGCACGTTTCTGTATTTGCAGCACATTTCTGTATTTGGTTGTGTTGCGAGTATTTGCAGCGCGTGTAGCGTCTGGACCAATCAAACACACAATATATATTTTGTTAGCTATATTTAACAAATACTCTGTAACACCCCTCAGTTAACAAGCCATACGAGGACCTATGGACCCTTCCCCCGAAATGCGTAACACCCCAGGAAGCCGAACAGGCCCCTGGTCCCCAACCAGGAAAGATGCCCAAAAATGGACTATTCTCTAATTAATTCATAGAAAACCTTTCTGTGAATGAACACTGAACACATTCAGGTCATTGTGTATGTTGTCTTTGATATTTTATACTGTTTTATGCAGGCTTATGATGGAACCACTCGCTCCTGTCATCTTACCTATATGTAATCCTACCATGTTTAGTATCTATGAATTAGTCTTCTGATGATCTAAACGAGAGTGTATATTATATGTTGGTACATAGGCAATATATTAGTGTCCTGAGAATCTTTAGTAATTTCGATTCAAGTTCCATATGCAAATTACCATGATTACCATGCAAGAGTCATAAAACTCCCCAGTATTTCCAAACCCCCACTTGGTAGTTCCGCCTTTCTCATCTTTCTCATTCATCTTGAGAGGCGTGAATCTTCTCAGACCTTAAAGGCCTCACTTCAGTGACCCACCCAGAGTCGGTGGTTTGTTTGAATTCTGAGAAGATGTGAGCTACAATGCTCCAGGACATCTCTAAGTACGTGCCAGGCTTCGGCCTTGACTTTTCCATTCACCAAGATTCTCTGACTCAAACTGGTTCTTTTTCATCAACCAACTTCAGCAAAGATCACCTTGGACTGCATCAAGCCTTTCTTTCAGACAGACGAGACGTGCAAGTATCAAACTTAGTCTTATTAATTGATA